ACCGATTCTTTATAAAGTAATTTGTTGACTCGTATATATAAAGTTGTTCGCAATTATTGCATTGTTATTGTATGGTGGATATACATACGTATGCACAATGTGTGTACATGAGTTGCAGTTATACATATTAAGTTTATTAAAACAAACTTAAAATGTTCCTTTATGAGGTTCATAATAATTATCTGCTGCATAAAATATCTGCGATAATATGCTAGACAAACAGTTAAAAAGATATAAATAAATAGAAAAAAATCCACTCTAGATTATGTAAAAAAACCCAGGGCCAGTTAATTTAAAAACACTCAGCCATATATCATCGATAATACACTGGCTGAATAATCATGCGTTTGGAAAATTTCTATCAAGGCTACACAAACAAGAACAAGAAAAACAACAAAGTCAACAAGTTCAAACAAAGAGCCATAAATCAAGTACAAGATACAAAAGATACTAAAGCTGAAACTCAGAACATATTTACAAACTTTAAAAGAAAACCAAGAAGAAAATTCAAATATTAAAGCAACAACATAAATATAGATTTCTATTGGCAATAACAACAAGAGAAACAAAGTATCAACAGTTTAGTCAGCAGCAAAGAAAAACTTTAACAAGAATTTTAATACAATAAAATCATCAAGTTTATAACAGCAACAACAACAACAAAAAAGAAACCAGCAATGTGAAAACATTGACAGCAACAACAGCTACTAAACAAATGGTGTAAATCAACCACAAAATCGTCAAGATCAACAGCATCGAACAAATTTAGTCTACACGCAGCTTTTAACAGTCAATCAAGCAGGAATAAAACAATTCCAACGACAGCAACAACAACAACAATAGCAACAAGCAGCATTAGCAATTACAATATAAAACAATAGCAACAAAAAAACAGGCAAATGGGAACACAGAGAGAGAGAGCAACAGCTGTCACAGCAACTTTTCAAACTGGCAAATGTGGTAAACGATAGAAATGAACGACAAACTGTTAACAGCAACATTGGCATCAACAACAACTAAAACTATAGCAATCAGCAACAATACAATAAGTATTCACACCACCAACGAATCAACCAACCAACCAATCCAACAAACTACCAGCGTCATCAGCAGCAACAATAACAAAACTACAACAAATACATATTGAACTAATTGTAAATGGAAATAGTTTGTCAACATTTCCATCATCAACATCATCAACGACAACACATCTACTATACACTTTCAACTGCACAGAGCCAATGATAATGACAAACAACATGCGGATGTAGTGATGAACTGCAGCATTAACAGGAACCAACCATGCACCCACCTAACCCTTTCATTGAAGAATATCTGCATTTTCATCATCATCATCATCGTCTAAAGTTAAAAATACCTTTTTTAAAACTCTTTACAATTTTAATGTGTGTTGAGTATTTTGCTCACAAGAATGAAATGTTCCTATTCGTTCGAGAGTTGTTTTTCCTTGGATAAAGGTAGATGAAGAAGAAGTCATTTAAAATGCGCTAAAACATTCCCAGAATTGGCCATTGAGTCAGCATGATGAGCACTAAATTGTTGCATACGAAATGAAGTTGGTCGGTCGGTTTTAAATGATGTTGGTTTTTACCGTTAAAATAGTTTTTGAAACGACAAACTTAACTAATTATAGGAGTGATAGATGAGAAAAGATGTGTGTGTGTGTGTTTTTACGCCAGATGAGGAGTATTTTAGATTTGTTGAAAGCTTTGTAATTAGGGTTAAAAAGTTAGAACTATTGACAAGTCCTTAGATTAGTCCAATGACTTGTTTCTAGACTAGTTGTTAGACTAGTCCTTGGACTATTTCTTAGGCTAATCCATGGACTACTCCTTAGGCTAGTCCGTAGACTAGTCTTTCGGCTAATACCAAGACTAGTTATTAGACTAGTCCTTCGACTAGTCCTTAGTCCCTACACTAGTTTTAAGACTATTCCTTAGACTAGTCCTTAGATTACTCCATCGACTAGTTATTAGACTAGTTGTTAGACTAGTATCTAGACTAGTCCTTAGTCCTTAGATTAGTTCGTAAACTAGTCCCTACACTAGATCTAAGACTATTCCTTAGACTAGTTCCTAGACTAGTTCTTAGACTTATCCTCAGTCTAGTCCTTAGTATAGTCCATAGATTAGGCCTTAGTCAAGTCCATAGACTAGTCCTTCGATTAAGTCCATAGAGTAGTCTTAGATTAGTAAGAAGACTAGTTTTTAGACTAGTTCCTAGACTAGTCACTAGACTAGTCCCTAGACTAGTTCTTAGACTAGTTCTTATATGTTTTTAGTCTAATTCTCAGACTAGTTCTTACATCAGTTCTTAGACATGTTTTTCGACACTAGACCTTAGGCAAATTTTTAGATTTAAAATAGTTCTTATATTCGTCCTGAGACTGAACACGTCTCTAGACTAGTAATTAGAAAAGTTACACTAGAACTTAAACAAGTCTTTAAAGTTGGCCATAGACCAGTCTTTATTTAGAACA